CTCTCCCTTTCTGGGGAGGACACTGACTGAGGGGCCAGAGTGGACTGCTCAGACAGGCCTCCGGCCACTAGCAGACCCATCTGGTTCCAATCAGGGGAGCAGGTTCCTGGATTACAGAGGACATATGGTGGATGGAGGCCACAGGTGACAAGCAGCCCTACCTCACTGTGGTACCCTCAGCAGTCCCTTCCCCAGAGTACAGCCCCTGTCCCATTTGGTCTCCTTTCCCCTCCCAGATGGGTACGACATACCAGCCACTGGAAGACCAAGTGAAGCTGGGAAACCTTGGGGGACCTGAGTCTCCCTTCTCCTACCCAATAGCCTGACCACAGACCCCAGACCTCTGTCCATAGTTAGACTGTAAAACCACGAAGGAAAGAAGAGAAGGGAAACTGAAGGCAAGAAGGGGGCTGGGGAGAGGAGAAAGGGCTGTAAACACACAGAGCAAGCAAAGTCTCTAGAAACCAGCAGGTCTCAACTGGATCTTATTACAAATGGGGAAACTCAGTTCTGGAGAAGAAAGACTAACTGAACCACTTATTGAATTTGACCCCAAGCGCTGTTCATGCATTTTCCCCACAGGTCCTCACAACAACTCTTACAGGTAGGAATTACCGTCCTCATTTGACAGATGGGGAAACTGAGGCTCATAGGAATGAAGGATCTTACTTGCCCAACCTCATCTAGGTGGTAAGTGGCCAGGTCTGATTCCAGAGTCTGGGCACCAGGCTGCCCTCCAGGGAGATAAGACTATCTCGGCATCTCAAACCCAGGGCCACCATTTTGCCTTCACTGCTGTCTCCAGACTTTGACCTGGTGGCAGCCTGGTTTTGGAGAAGTCTGCCCCCTCTTGCCATCCAGGGTCTGCTCTGGTTGCCCCCACCCTCCCCACCCAGCTCCAAGCTCTCTTTCTAGGTCTAGAGTCAAAGGATACAAGCCTGAAAAAGCAGGCTCCCTGGTCATGACTTGGTGCCAGGGTTCTAATCCTGGCTCTGGATAACCTTGGTGTCTCTGGGCCTCCACTTCCTCATCAATAAAATGGACTGGGTTGTAGAAAACTGGGTTGGACTGTGATTCTGTGATTCCCCAACCCTCCATTCCTATCATTCTGAACAAACCTAGGAGCTTCCCCCTTGGTTTGGGTGGTCTTTAGCAAGAAGGTTCTGACACCAGTTTCAGAATTCAGAGTGGCAGGGGAGCCCATAGAAAGAGGGGACCCAGCCAGCCATGGAAGCTGCTAATCTTCATCTCTCTCCCCAGGGGACTGCACTGCTGCCTCCACTGAAAGCAATTTGTCATGCCCTGAATTAAGTGATTCCAGCACGGGTTTAATTTCAGTTTAATGGCTCTGTTTTTTATGTGTAATTAAATACCATTGCATGGCGAAAATATGTTGTTTGCACTTTAGAGACTGTGTAAGGGCCCAGGAAGCCAATCCCACCAGGCTTCTACTTCTAGACTCCACCAGCCCCTCCGTCTGGTTGGAATTGTCCAGGTCGTGGGGAAGGAGTTGGGGACCAGGGGAAGAGAAGGGGGAGGTGAGGAGAGAGGTGGTCCTGCTGGCGCCTGCTCACTCAGTAGAGTGTGCTTCTAATCATCTGCAGCACCCCCTGCCCTTCTACTCTCTAACCCAACCCTCCCCAAGCCCCTGGGGCCTCAGACATAGAGGGGCCAGGTCACTCTGACAGCAAGGATCTAATTAGACCTGTGGCTGGCTGGAGTCTTGTCTGCTCTCCCGGGTATGCCCAAACCTCTGTTCCACTGTCTCTCCTCCACTTATTGTCCCCATTATCTCCCCCTCCTTCTTTGAATGTACCTCCTCCCCATTGTCCTTCTCCCCTGACTCATAAACTGCTCTTTCCCTCCCCTCCTCCCTATGACAAGCCTGCCTTCCAGCTCCATCCAAACACATCATCTTGACTTTCTCTTTCTAGGTCAGAGGTATCATTGCCATAGGGGTCTGGAATGCAGGGGGAGTTTCTCTGGCTAGGAATGTTTTGGGGTCATTTACCACACAGCCATATACCCACCCCAGTAAGGGGGACGGAACTGGCCCCTAAGTCCTGCATACCTCATAACATTCCTGGAGCAGCCTGGTGGCAGAATCTGGCCCAAAGGGCAGAGGGGATTAGGACAACCAGCCTTTTCCTGGAAGGAGTTGAAGGGACCACAGTGGCCAGACCTCTGGGGCCTAACAGGGAGAGGGGCCAGAGGCTTGGCCAGCTCTCTGGAGATTGCCCCACTTAAATTGGACGTTAGAGTCAGTCCAAGTCCCTATTTTTTCAGCCTACCTTCACCCTGCCTTCCTGACAATGGAAAACCCAGCCCCCAACCCTCAGCCGACATCAAGGTTCCATCTCCTCTAATTTTCTGGGAAATGGAAACCAAATGCCTGATATAGACTGGCACCACCAGGCTAGAGGATCCTACCAGGGCACCCCCATCTCCCTGCTCCAGGCCACATTGTGGGGGAATGGTATTTCTTGGGGAGGCAGGGCAGAGCATTTCAAGGATGCCAGTTCTTAACTTCATCCAGGTATGGTGGTCCCATCAGGACATAAGAATTTGGTCCTCCCCTTCTCCTCCTCCCTCCTACATCTGCTCCCGTGGGAACTAGACTGACCATTCAAGGTTACTGGATACCAGGGCGGGAGGGCCTAGATGCAAACTAGGCTATCAATAACCTGTCTGGAGCCCGGTCTTCCCCAGTGTGAACTTACTGGGAGACACTGCCCAGGGCAGTTCACTTCCTCTGGCCTGGTAGAGGGTGCCATGTGGATATGGAGCTGTTTATGCTTCCTTCTATTTTGACATTTAGGATCCGAGCTCCAGGATCATTGGGGGCAAGTGGCAGGGGCATGGTGTGTTTCTGTGGGATGTGGAATTCTCCTCCCAAAAGTACATGTTCTCTATTCTCTGGTACTAGACAGCTCCACACAAAACCTATGGTAAGGACACCTAATGAGTGAGGTCCACTCATTCACAGAGGGGAGGGAAGCACATACTCTCCAAATGTCTCATTCTCGCATCACACACCACACATATACAAATTCACTTTCAGGATCATACTCATATAGATTCATACAGCCCGTATATACACACCAAACAAATACACATCTCATCTACACACATCCACACTGACATATTACACCAAGTGTGATACATACTCCGTAAATGCCCATACTCTCACGTTTCAGACATCACTTTACCATACACAGACACACACACACCACAGATACACGTACATCACATGTATGGCCTGGGCTGTGCCTTTGTGATACACACAAAGGCCCATGAAAGAAAAAGGACCTCCTACCACCCACTGCCAAGGGTGCAAGGCCAGAGCATTGAGAAGGGGGGCTGGAAATGAGGGGGACTGAAAGTGATGCTTTCCCTACATTTGGCTTAGAGACCTAAAACTTCATCTTCAGTCTGCACCCAGCTCCCACTCCAACACACGCCTTGGCCTGCGCCCCAGAAGGAGACGCTGTATGAATAGTAGCCAGGGGGCCGAGGAAACAACCCTCGGCTTCACTTTGTTCTTTATCTCCTGCCTCTGGCAGTGGCTGTTGTGCCTCAGGGAGACCAGGTGGTTGCAGGATGGGGCAGATCCAGATCTGGAGAGACAAGACTGAGGCCCCAGACTCAAGATGCAGACAGCACAGGTGCCAGTGCATCAAAGGCAGTGAAATCAAGAGGTCTGGGAGTGGAGAGTCTCTGGAGCTGGGGAGGGTGCTTAGAACCTGGAGACAGCCAGAGAGGAGGGGGCACCCCAGAGGGCAAACACACTGGGTGTACAGTCTCTAAGCTGCCTATGACCTCCAGGGAAGGAGCCCCTATCCAAGAGACCAGCTGCCCCCCTACCTGGCACAGAGGTGTCGTAGAGAGAGGGGACTTTGGGGGCTTGCCAGGAATCCAGTGCCACCATGTGGACACAAGTTCTGAGGTTGGGGCTGACACTGAGAGTCCACAGTGAGCCCACGACAGCAAGGTCAAGGGTGCCCCCACTTCCAACCCCTCAGAATCAAATCTCAACACAACCCCCCAGTCAGGAATCTAGGCAGTCAGAGCTGTGGAATGTGTTGGAGAGCTTATCCCCTTCCCCCAACTGCAGAACAATGCCCCCACCCCCAACCGGCAGAGTTAATAAATTAAATCCAGATGCAAACCCCACCCTTTGCAGTCCTTTCACCATGCAGGGCAGGGCAGGGGACCACACAGTTCCTACCTCCCCAAATCTGACCCTTTCTCTCCACCTATTGTTTGCCCACCCATGGTCTGGGCACAGACAGCACAGATGTTGGAGATGGGGTACCCCCTGGGAAGAGGCTGCACAGGAAGAGGAGGGTGAATTCAAGGGCCCTTTACAGTCCTTTTACCATGCAGGGCAGGGCAGGTGACCACACAGTGCCTACCTCCCCAAATCTGTCCCCTTCTCTTCACCCCTGGTGCATCCCTGTCTCTTAACTGTAAATAAATCAACGAAACACAGTTGTCTACACATTTTTTGGTTTTGTTCTGTTTTGTTAAAAAAAAAAAAAAAAGACATCAGGTCCAACTGGAAGGTCCCTAAGTCTCCTTCCATTCAATTAAGCCAGAAAATGTCCAGTGGGGCAGGGAGATGGGGAGGGAGGTGTGGGGGAAAGAGGTGTGAAAGGAAGGCAGAACCACAGGTGGGGAGCCACTGGGAAGATGAGGTCATCCTGGGACTCCATGGCTGTGACCACAAATGGGGTAGGGAACAGGACCCCAGGCAAGCCCCCACACCCCTCAGCTTTGTGGGGCCTCTACTCCATCAGGCACATTCAGTCTGATCTCGCATTCTTTCCTCAACCCTGACTGCTCAAAGAGATGAGCCCCATCTCCCCAGCCCTCTGTCCTACAGGTCTTCTTCTGGCCCTTGTCCCTCCTCCTCCCCAGGGTCTCAGCTGCCAAGCAGCCAAGCAGATGGCATCCCACCCTGACCCAAAGGTGGGCTTATCTCTTGCAGGTCCTTCCCCCAGCGAGATCTAGAAGTAGAAAGGGGAGCCTAGCAAGCCTTGGCTTTGGGAGTGGGTCTGGGTCTCATAACCATTGAGCCATCTGCCACCCCTATATCCCTTACCCTCTGACTAGACTGAGAGGAGAAGCGGTCGTCAAAGTACACATCTACTCTTCTCTTCTGACTCTGGGAATAAGAGCTTTCTCCCAGAGGCCTGCACTCACCTTATAGAAGCGGCTCTAAAATCAGAGGAAACCACAGTAAGAGCCCCTAGGACTGAAAACTAGAGCTGGCACATAGTATGTGGTCAATAAATGTTTTGGAAGGCTGGCTGGCTGGCTGGCTGAATGAATGAATGAATGAATGCAGGATTGATTTGGAAGCACAACAGGGCTCCTCATTGCCACTCTCAGACTTCTCAGGCTATCTAAGCCCAAAGAGGACACCCTCTGGCTCTGGCTCACCCCAAGGGCACACTTATGCCCATAAACACACACATGCACACACATACACATACCCCGAGGGAAAATGTCTGGGCCAGAGGCAGAGCCAGGACTCAGACCCAGGCTCAGGGTCAGCTCTGCAGCCTCCAGGGGCAGGGGTAGCAGGGAGCACTGAGCTCCCTGCCTGCTGGCAGGGCTCACTTGCGGAAGCTGTCAGCCAACTGGTGGCAGTCCAGTTCCCCCTTCGGCTCCAGGCCCCCAGGAAGCTTCACCCCCGTCTTCCGGTCCACACACCAGCACTTGCCGCGCTGCCCATCCAGGGCCGGGTGGCACTGCCAAGACAAGGGTATTAGGGGTCAGTCTCAGGCAGGAAAAGAGAGATCCCAAGCAGCCTGCCCCAATCCCAGCCCAACTCCCAAGGCAGACAGTTGCTCCAAGGTGGCCTCTGGGGGTCGAGGCTCCTTCTTGAGTGTGTGTCACCTGAGCTCGCTGGAGAGAACTTGGCCAAGAAGGGGGGGTCCAGAGGGTTTCTGGAAGCAGGGCCCTGAAAAGGTTCTATAGCCCAGCTGGAGGGGAGACTGGATCCATGGGGTTTAAAGATGCAGTTGGATTTGAAAGACTAGGGTTCAGGTTGGAGCTATTTCAAGTGTATGCCCTGACTGAGTTTGGGTATTTAAGAATGGGATTATGGTTAAGAGCAGGATCCAGATTGAGGTTAGGGTTAGGATCAGGATAAAAGTTGCAGCTGAATTAGGAAATGTGACTAAAACTTGAGCTGGGTGAGGGGTAGAGTCTAGGTCAGAAACGGAATTAGGGTAAAGCCTGAAGTCAACGTCAGAACAACTGACCTTGCTGGACTAAAGTTTTGGTTTGAATTATATGGGAGAGGGGGCAAAGGTGAATTTCAGAATCAAAATTAGAGTTGGAGTGAAGGTTGAGTCAAGGGTCAGAATTGGTCTGGGGATAAAGGGTCAAGTGTCAGAACTTTCATTGCAATAAAAATTGGGACAAAGATAAAATTGGTGTTGAGATAAAGGTTGGAGATAGGCTCAGCATTTGTTTGGGGCGCCCTCTCTGTTCCTCTACTCATTGCACACCACCACATACCCTCCCTCCTTATGCCATCATGGGATGTGTAGACCCAGAGGCAGCCTTTCTCCTCCTAGCTAGCCTAGTGGCAGCTCACTTTGTGGCTCTATCTGTAGGGCATGTAAGGGATGGTGTGTGGGTTTACGTCCACAAAGATCTAGAGAAGGATATCTGGCCCAGGGCTCCCCAGGCCACTTCCTGCATGGGGCACCTCAGAGCCCTGCCCAGATATAACATCCTTTCTAGCGCCAAACTCTGAAGAGCCAGAGACAGGATTGGAGCAGGCCAACCCTGCTGAACACCCCAACCTCATGGGTCCTGGGGGCATATCAGGGGGCCCAGTGTACCAAGGGTATAAGTGAGTATGGACGTTGCTGCCTTCATGTCTTCTCCATGGCCCCCTCCTTCCTCTGCTTCCACCCAAAGTTCCTATCTCCAGCTATTAGATCTGGCTTCACCTCCATCCTTACTGTACCACAGGTGATTTTGCTGCTGAGCTTGGGGGAAGGGGCAGGCCAAGGTTCCTCTCTGATTTCTCATACTTAGCCCTCCATTCGCAGATGAAACGTCAGACATTCAGTGACAAGGGAGAACTACTCATAGGAATGGAGTAGGGTTAGTGAGAGAGTGTTGGGAGCCAGAAATTGGCAGAGGTACTAAGGCTACCACAGATGGTGAGTCCAGAGGTGGTGGAAATAACACTCTGTGACTTTGGGTCAGACTTTACCCCTCTCTGGGCCTCAGTATCCTATGAAATAAGTGAGATGGACAAAATGAGCTGAGATTCTGAAGCTGAGGTAGGGCTTAGGGAGGGCTCAAGGGGTTAGGTTTGGGTCGGGGAGGCTCTCCTTCCTGAGATCTCCATCCTGGGCCACCCTATAGAGAGGCCAAGAATGTCCCTGAAGCTGAGGCCAGAGTCGAGCCAGCAGGAGAGTGAGACCCACCTGCTTGGGGTGGAAGTTGCCGTTGCGGTCACAGTTGGGGATGGGGATGATGTAGAGGTCCTCGTGCGTGCGGCTCTGTGAGGCGGCCAGCCGCTCCAGGGCCCGGTGCAGCTCGCTCTGGCAAGAGCCCTGGGGCTTGGGGAAAGGAAGAAACTGCTCAGCAGAAGGGAGAGAGGAGGCAGAAGGACCAGACCTGGGGGTCAGAGCTAAATAGGGGCTGAGTGTCCTGAAAGGAGGGACAAGGTCTGGAGGCTGGGCAGAGGCCAATGAGGTATAGGGAGAGACTTGGATTCAGGTGACACTGACAGGAAGGACAGAGGGACATTGAGGAGAGGGTCTTAAGCCAAAGAGCTCCCAAAAGGAGAGGTATAACGTGATGGGACCTTGTGGGAAAAGAAAGAGGCCATGAGAAGCACATGGAGAAGGACCGGGAGGGAGCCATTTCTAAGCCAGAGGGATAGACAAAATAATGCAATTAATAACATGTAAGACCCAGGCATGGATCCCTCAGAACCACCCATCAGAAAGGACATTAGCCAGACCCTGGAGCAAGTTCCCAAGGCCCCCTGTTATGGCCAGCATTAATCTTTTTGTTACTGGAAATGTCTGCGGTGGGGGATTCAAGAGAAGGGCCAAGAAACACCAGGGGGCTCGGGGCAAGAGTGATTTACCAACCAGTGCAGAAGTATTTCAGTATTTACCAATTGGTTCAGCTGTACCAGTGTACATAACTGATGAGCAGGAAAAACATCCCAAGCAAAGGAATGAAGATTCTCTCTGGGTCCTGATGATACATACTATATGCATCTTACACACAGTAGGCATCCAAAGAATGTTTGCTGAACGAACATCTCTGGATCTGGTGTGGTGTTGGGAGAGGCGTGCATGCATACGTGTGTGCGCGCATGCGTGTGTGTGCATGCGCGCGCCTGCCTATCTGCATGCAGGCTCATGGGTCAGAAGTCCTCACCAAGGGCCGGGCGTCCTCCCGAAGAACCCCGGTGATTTTCATCTTGCCCCCATTTGTGTTCCGGTCTCGAATTTTGGCGAAGTGCTTCTGCAGGCACCTGCGGTCATGGGCACTGCAAGGGCTGAAGCTGTTGTTTGGATGGTCACTCTCATCCTTGTCTGTAGTCAGGCCAAGATGGGGAGAGGTCAGCACCGGAGAAGAACAAAGCATTTTACCAACATCCAGACCCCTATTATCTTGGGGAACCTACACCCTCGCACTGGAGAAGGGCAGGGGGCACCTATGGAGGGCAATGAAAGCAGCCCCCCATCTCCCCCCCCCTCGCTTGTGTCCCCTCAGGAGAATATTCCCCTTGAAGTCCTTGACTTGTCCCTCACCCCACCCAGTCCAGTCCTCAGATGAGTCACAGCTGCAGCTGCCCAGACGGCAGGAGGGTCCCCTGAGCCCTGCACGGAGGTCTAGGGCAGGCAGATCGGCTCCCCCACCAGATCTCAGATCTCATCCCTTCCACCATTCAGCTCCTCCCACCATCGCCCTCTCTGTCTGCTCTCTCTTCCTGTCTCCTTTCCTGCTCTTTTCAGCATCCGGCTGAGCCAGTCAGGGCATCCCCAGAACTGTGGGCTCTGCTGACCCTCTTCCAAATGGCCAGAATCAGAGTTTCCATGAGTGATGTGAAATTTGGCCCAAAGACTCTCCCCATTGGCTGGGTGGGAGAGAAGAAGTGGGAGTGGGTGTGTATGCCTACATGTGAAAGTGCATGTGTAACACATCCTGTGCGGCCCCAGGACCAAGATACACTCACACGCCCCTTCAGTCCTCCCCTCATGTCTCCCGTCCATAGACTTCAGACCCCACCCAAACTCCATGTCTGTTGCCCAGAGCCAGGAGGCAGGGGCGGTGAGGTTGGACCCTCATCGCCTCCCTAGGATCTGCTGAAGGCTCTATCTGAACTCAAAAAAAACCCCATCCAGAAGTCCCAGAATCATAACCACAGCTCCTCCCTCCAGGCAGCCAAAACCGGAATACAGGGTTGAGCTGGAGAAAGAGGCTGGAACACCTCTCCACAGATCAGAGCCACCTCTGAAATGCTCGGTCTTGGCAGCTCGCTGCCACTGCCGGCCTGAGTGCAAAGCCCCTGCCAGCATTCCAGATGTTGGTAGCCAGACAGGAGGTTACATCTGGTTTGCGTCAGGATTTTTTTTACTGAGGAGTTAGCAGGTTCCTCCTCGCGTGGCTGCAGTCCCAGAGCCGCCTCTGGGTCAAATGGTATTTTTCTGCCTAGCCAAAACTGAGGGTTAGTTCTCTTTTTATTTTTATTCTCTTAGTTTTAGGGGCATGGAGGAAGCATGTGGATAACTAGAAACGAGGCAAGGAGGAATCTAGACCCTCAGAAAATCTTTGTCAAGATTCCACATCACAGTTATTTATAAAATTGAGTCACCAAGAATGGGAAGAAGGTGTTGTCACCAGTAGAAGGCTGGCTTAGAAAGAGGAATTAAAGGGAAGGAATAAATGGAGCAGACAGATATAATCATTCCTTCTGGATATTTAACATGGGGAGAGGTCAGCACCAGGGAAGAACAAAGCATTTTACCAACATCTAGACCCCTATTATCTTGGGGAACCTACACCCTCGCACTGGAAGGACTCAGAAAGTCCACAGAGAGGACTCTAGTCCACAGATGACATCAAGTTCCTGAGAGTCAACCAAGAAGAGAACACTATAGCAAGATCTCTCAGTCAGGATTGTTCCAAGGGGGCCATGAAAAGATGGACCCTGGGCCCTCAGCTAGGAACCACAGAAAAGATCTGGGATTCAGGCTCTTCCCTGGAGACCTTTCCAAGGAGCCTCTCTGGCCAAAAAAGACCCACGCTGACCAGTGATTCCCCCACTCCTCTAATTTGCATGAAGTCACAAGGCTTGTGGATCAGGTCAGAGTCTCAGGGGTGTAGGCTGGGCTGAGGGAGGGAGAGAAAAGGGAAATGGGAACCTAAAAGAATTAGAACCCAGTCTTGGAATGACAGAGGATGAGCCAAGATGTGAACAAAGGCCCCACCATTTTACCTGGGGAGGGTTGGAGGAGATCACAGTGACTTGTTTGCTATGGCCCAGAAACTAACTCTAGGGGGGCATCCTTCGAACATGGGGAGGTTTTGTTGTTTTTTTTTTTTTGCTCTGTGTGCGCTCTCTTTTAATGACCATAAAGGAGAGCACTACTTTGCACAATAATACTTGTTCCTCTTGGTAAATGGGCAGAATGTTCTTGGGTTCGAGGAGTAAGGAAGAGTTTTCTAGCAAATAGGGCTGCCTCAGGAGGTAGAGAGCTCCCCCTATAGGTGTAGCGCATCAGAACGGTAGCTAGGCCTCAAGAATCTAATGAGATCTGGAGTAGAAGCTCAACTACAACTATATTTTCCAACGTTGCTGGCCTGGGTGCAGACTCTTGGGGAATTATTAATGGATATTTGAGATGTTTATCCTCTAACTTAGTTACTGTTTGCTGTGAGCTGCCGTCCAGAAAGCTTCCAATTCATGGCGACCACATGCACAATGAGATTGGACCATTGTGATCTATAGGATTTACATTGGCTGATTTTTGGAAATAGATTACCAGGCTTTTCTTCCTAGTCTCTCTAACTTAGAGGGTACCATTAAAGAGAAAAACTGGATCCGCTTACTGAAACCCGGGGCTGCGTGGGGCATGGGGTGAGCCTGGAAGCATAACTTATATTCTTATGTTGGTATTGCCCTATGTCATATATACCCAGTTTTACCAGCTGTCATCAAGGCAATTCCAACTCATGATGACCCTAGGGTTACCTGGGAAAGGGTAAGTAGGCAGCCTGCTTGGCCTCCCCTTTCGTGATTTCCCCAGTGCCTGGCCCACTTATCCCTAGCTCACATCTAAGCTTAGAGTAGAACACATCAGCTAGAGAGAGCAGACTCCTTACTCATTCTCATGAGGACACAAGAATACAGAATAAATCCATATTAGCCCATTCAGACAGGCTGGGACTCAAGAATCACAGATGTATACAAACAATCACGTGTCCAGACACACATTCTCCCATGCGTGCACACCCTCATGCCCTCAGGCACTCTGACCCTACCCTGGTCAGACACACAGACCCGGGGTAGGGTACAATGATTTTGGCAGTCTCCCTGCACCATGGCTTGTTGACTTTCCATTTAATCTGTAACTTCTCCTTGCCCAGCTTTGCTTAACTGGTAGACTAAGGACCCACCCCGGGATCCACCCCTAGGCACTGGGTTTGGGGCAGTGAGGGTTGTAGCCTCGAGTACCCTGAAAATATTAACCTTCCCAGCTCCAAAGCTGGCTAAACACTTGCTGCTGGGGATTCAGCCACCTCGTGCTGCCCACCCAGGTAGTGCCCTCTGGAAAAATCCCAACCCCTGTGGGCTCTCTGAGCAGGAGTTGGAGTTGGGCCTGTCCCTTTGAAAGGTTTGACCTCTGAAAGGCTTGTTTGAGAGGTGGAGCTTCCAGGGTATATCAGGTCATTTCCTCCAGCCCCTTGCTTGGAGCTAGGCGAACTGACAGCCAGCCACCAGGGAAACTGGTCTCTGCTCCAACAACAGAGGAAGGGAAGAAGCCCAAAGAGAAAAGAGGCTTCACAGCCTTGGTACCACCAGTTGCAAAGTTCCTGGTTAAAGCTAGAGGATTTCCTCTTTCCTGCTGCCTGATTTCACCCCAATCAGCCATAATCTAGAGGGTCACCCACCTGCTCTGCAAGAGAAGTCTTTACTTTTTTCCCTGGACTCTGGCTGAAGAAGCCAAAACCACCCGCGCTGAATGCCAAGCCCAAAGGGCATCCCCCTCACTGAAATACCATGTTGCTGGCCTCAGACTAAGGAGTCGGGTAAGGAAAGCTGGCCTGTCTTTTCCATGTTTACAGCAGCAAAAGGCACCAAAGTTCACCCACCTCTCTCAGCTCCTCTGAATGTCCCACCATCCCCATCATTGCTCTAATTTATTGAGCTCTTACTCCATGCCAGATACACCAACCCTGTAAGGCAGGTCCTGTTATCATCCCATTTTACAGATGAGGAAACTGAAGTAGACTGGATGGAGAAGGAAGCAAGACTTATCTCTGTAGTTCCTACGTCTTGAAAGGGCAGGACTCCTTCATACCCAAGGCATCAATAACTCTGGCTTTGCCAGTACTAAAGAAAAAATGTTAAGTAGCCATGCTCCTCCTTCCCCCTTCCCCCAAGGCACAGAATTTCTGGGAAGGCCCTGTTCTCATGACTTAACTGGATTCCCAGTACTGAAGTGGGGGAGACAATATTTGCTGCATTGACTAAAAATTAACCCAGCTTGTATGTTCCCTAATCCTGTCCCAGAGGGACCCAGACTACACTTAAAGAACTCCCCAGTTCAAGCGCTGTGTCCACTCCCCCCAGATTCCATCAGCACCACTGATACAGAATTTGTGGAATTCTGACGCACATGTTCCACCCCTCTCACCTCCAGTAACCTCAGCTGTGTTAACCCACAACCTGGCTCTCTAGCTTAGGAAACTGGGGGCAGGAGGGCAGTGGAGGTGGGGGAAGCTGGAGAGGGAAGGAAGAGACCTGTCCCTGGGGCAAATAGGAGGCAGTTGGACCATACTAGGCCAAGGGAGGAGACGTGCCAAGTAGCTACCTTCCCCCAAACCACCTGCTGAAGCTCAGCCCCAAGAAGATAAGGCAGAAAGAAGGGCCTGATACCCTCCACCAAACTATTCCCCAGGCAGGAGGGCCTAAGCCTTGGACCTAGGAGGGACAGTGGCCTATCAATAGGGTAAGGCTAAAGAGGATAGTAGGGATGGGGCAGAGTCCTACCTATCTTGTCTCACCAGAGACTCTGCAGGGTTGCTGCACAACTCTAGGGGGCGCCTTTCACATGGTGCAGTGTGGCCCAGGCTGTGGCAGGGGGTGCTTCTGTGATGAATAGGAGACGAGAGGGCATGGGCAGAGCTTGCCAAGTAGGTACCTAGTTCCTCCAGATTCCTTAGGTTTCCCCTGATATTTTCCCCCAGATATTTGCATGCTCCCCATGGGTGGAAGAAAAGGCAAGGGGTGGGGGGGGGTTGTTAGAGACCTCTGTAATCCAAAGGGGACCTAAAGACACCCCCATTCCTAGGTGTCCACATGGCAATCACAAACTGTTGGCATCATGCCCTCCAAAACCCTAGGGAATCAAATTTTCCTCCACTACAGGATGGGGTACTCCTACCCAACCAGGGAAGAAGGCGTGCCCAAGACCCTCTGAGGGCTCTTCTGACCCAGGTTCAAGTTGGTGAGAGAGAAGGAGGATACCAGCCATCCTTATCTGATGGCAGACACCCGCTGGCTGGTGGAGGATGGAGATGCAAAGGGAAAGTGGCCTGTTATATCCAGTAAGCTCAGCCCTCACTCCCAGTCTGGTCTGGTACCAGTGAGCCTCCTCTCCTACTGGCACTGGTATCTCCACCCCAGGATCAGCGACTTACTCCCTCAAGACCCCCCCCCTTCCAGATGTGCCGGGTGCCAGGCTGGCATTTCTCCTAGAATGTTTTCTGCTGACCCATCTCTCCCTGCCTGGGGGCAGGAAGGGCAGAGAGGCCCAAGGCCCAGACCCCTGGGGTCCACCTCCTTCCTGTTTTCCCTGCATCCTGCTTTCCTCCAGCTAACAAGCTGCAGAAGATTGAGGAAGTGGAGCGATCTGGGACCCAGGGCAGGAAGCTCGGGCCGGAGTCCCAGCATCCGGACTGCAACAATGGAAGCTTCAAGCACCAGGAAAAGAGACAGACACAGGCAGAGGCACAGAGAGAACAAAACAGAGTCAGAGGCGGAACGAGAAACAGAGGTGGAGAGATTCCAAAAGTAACAGAGGAAGAGAGAAACAAAGACAGAAAGAGAAACAGTGACAGAGACGCAGAGAGAAAGAGACTGAGAGAAAAGTGAGAGAAGCAGAGTGACAGAAACAGAAACTCGGAATAAGATGGAGAAAGAGAAAGAAACTGAAAACGGGCAGAAGATATTGAGGAAAAAAGAGCTTGAGAGTATTAGTGAAACTAGAGGTTGAGAGACAAAACAAGAAAGAACAAAAGCATTAAGAAAAAAAGGAAAGAGACTGAGAAAGATTATAAGGAGAAACTGAGAGGCTCACTGAGAAACGGACAAATAGAAAGTTTAACAAAGGGATTAGGGCAAAGGGCCTTCTAAGAGTTCTCTTTTCTCTCCTTCTTTATCTCTCTGTCTTAGTCTATTTCTGTCTCCCCTCTTCTCTATTCCTTATCCCACACCAGTTAGTTTTCTGCAGCTCTCGGCTGGGAGCCAAGACTAGTTTCTCTTCTGCCACCTCAGATGGCACCTGCAAGGAGAAAGAAGAGGAGTGCCTGTATACCAGGGCAGGCAGAGGTGCCCAGGCCTGGCAAGGAGACCCTTGTCTTCCCATTACCTTTCAAATAGCTAGATGAGCTGGCATGGGGCTTTGGGGAAGGGCAACTCTGAGGCACCTCTAATTTGCACAGCCCACTCCACCCCACCTCAGTGTCAAAAGTTAGGTCACAGTTCCTCAGGCCCCTGAGGTTTCACCTGCAGTCAGGGTGAGGGGAGGTCCCTTGATTGGGAACAGAAGGCTGTGCCCACCTGCTACCCCTATTCTCCAGTTATCTGGCCCTAGACCGCTGACCTGCAGGCGGCTGGCTGGACCAGGTCACTGAATTTGCCACTGTGGCACCAGCAGCCAGGCCTACCATTGACACCACACTCCTCAAACAAGCATCCCTGGGAGGTTTGAGATGAAGGGATGGGACAGAGTCCCCCTTGAGAATGGCAACAGGCTGCTAGGGACTCGGTAGTAGTTTCCTTGGCTGAGCCTGTCCCATGCCACTCCGGCCCTTGCCACGTACCTGCCTTCTCCCCAACTCACAAGGGGTTTTAAACGGCCTTCCAGGCTAGCCAGAATGGCTGCTAGAAGAGGCTGCTGGAAGGTGAGCGACTAGGGTGGTCATGGGTGGTCCGGGGGACCCCTTACCAGAGGGCTGCAGGCTTTCCTGGATGGCCTCGATCTCCGCCAGCTCCATGCACACGCCTTGCCCATGCATCAGCGTGTGCAGGGGCTTCTCCACCCCACGGGGCGGGTAGCAGCGCAGGCCCGAGCCGCAGCGTGGGGTGTACACCCCGCAGGGCATCCCTTTGCCCAGGGCGCAAGTGGCGCAACAGCCGCAGCCGGGCTCCCGCACCAGCTCCTCGCAGCCCACGGGGGGGCGGCAGCGCGCCAGCTTCTCCTCGGAGCAGGGCGGACAGTGGATGGCTTCGTCGCCCAAGCTCGGCCCGGGCCCGGCAGCCAGCAGCAGCGCGGCCACGAGGCAGAGGGGCAGCATGGCCGGGCGAGGACCGGGTGCAGGCACGGGGCGCGGGCGGGGAGCGCGGGTGCGTGGGCCAGCGGCGGGGGGCACAAAGCGGCAGCGCCCGGCGCCCTGGAGGACCCGACCCGGAGGGCGCGGGGAGACGGGGCGGCCCGGCTAGTAGATAGGGACGGAGCCAGGAAAGTTAGCAAGCCGGCCGAAGTGGAGCGAGCCTGGCCACCGAGGCGCTGCGCCGCATCCTCGGCCCGGCCCAGGCGGCGGGCGGCGGGGTGGCAGGGGACTGAGCGGCTGCCCAAGACCGGCTCCCCCGGACTTTATACAGGCCCCTGGCCACACCCCCAGCGCCTTCCCAGAGGTGGGGGAGCCGGGCCCGGCGAGGGGGAGAGGGAGAGGCGGTCGTTAGTGGGAGGGGGCGCTGTCCTGAGTCCCCATCGCCCCTGCGGCCGCTACAACATCTAAAAGTCCTTTTCTGCCGAAGAAGGAAGCGGCGCAGTTTGGAAGCGGTGTCAGGCCCGCCGAGAGCGGCTCGGAACCAGAGCCGGGAGGGGAGGGAAAGAAGAGAGAGGGAAGCGAAGAGGTTGCTCCTGGGCCCCCTCCCCCGACCGTGGAGGATTCTTCTCCAGCCCCTTCAAGCCACCTGCAGTCCCCCACACTGAGAACAGGACCTAGTCCTGACTCCCGGCTCCACAGATTCAGTCTCCCTAACAGAGTCCTTTCCACCCTACCCCAGTGCTTCCAGGCTCAATCCCTGGAGACCAAGTGGGGTAAGGCAGAGAAAAGGGTACAGGCCCACAACCAGAGGTACTGAAGGGCCTGGTGTCCCTAAGACGTTAATAGACTTAGTTGTACTTCCCCATTTCTTCCCACTTGCCCCTGCCAAACCTCGCTCCCTGCCCCGCACCCCCATCTCTCCAGGACTCACTTGGGTCCTAGTCCACCCTGCCTTCCCCAGAATGGAATGGATCGAACTCCCAGGGAGGGAGGTGTCAAGCCACTTCCTCCTTGCTGGGTGTTTGCCTCTACTGCCCAGACCCGCTCTTGGGCTCCAGGAGATTGCCACTCAGTGTACAAGTTGTGCACTGCACAACTCCGGGGGGCACCATTCCTCTTGTAGTTGCTGTAGATTTGTATAGTTATTGGGACAGTTTTCCAGCAGATGGCGACCAAGAGTTTTGAGGAAGGGGTGCCTTTTTCCAATTCACAGTGTTGCTGATTGGGCTAGTGTTGGGGCTGGCTTGCCCCTCTGTGGGATCCCTATTGTTGCGTTTATGCCTTTATATTCCACCCTCTCCCCAGTGCCACTGGGATTGGGTGGGGCCCTAGAGTAGCATCTGGAGGCAGGACTCATCTCCTAGAGTGCCTCTCAAAACCAGTTGCCAGCTAGTAAGCTCCAACTCATGGTGACCCCAAGTGTGTCAGAGTAGAACTGTGCTCCTAAGGGTTTTCAATGGCTGATTTTTCAGAAGTAGATTGCCAGGCCTTTCTTCCCGATTCCCTCTCAGATCCCCCTAATATTCACCCATCCTCCCGCACAAAGGCTCCGGCTATCCTGGACCAGGTTTCAGGGTAAGGTTGCCTGTCCAGGCATAATTGGTGGCCCACTGTGGATTTTTCTGGGAAAGGAAGGGTTTGGCCTAGAAAGCTGCAGGGTAGCCGGGCTGAAGTGAGGTTCTGAGGCCCCCTTCCTGCTTCCTCTCCCAGGGTAGGAGTCTTTCAGCCTCGCAGGGCTGGGCTACCCCCTACTCCTTTCTGCAAGTGCAGATTGATCGAGTGATAGGAGGGAGACAGGGCTGGAAGCTGGACCTTTAGGGACAGGATCAAAAAGTTGCAAACTGATGGCACCTACTGGCAGCCATCAGAACTGCAGAGGGACAGAAGGACAAGATTCTCAGATTCTCTCCATCCCATCTCATGACGGACTGGGGTCCATTCCGCACCATCTGCCTTGGACAAGGACAAACAGAGCCAGGCTCCTCAATTCCCTAGGGGAAGCCCAGCCTGTTCCTGACTCAGAAACCTGCCCCTAGCCCTCCCTGTACCCACCTCCTTTATCATTACTGAACCCAGTTCTGCCACCAACTCATCGTGTGAACTTGGACACTGTCCCCTCAGAGCTTGAATGTCCCTAATTGTAAAATGGAGACAGATCATCCCCACCCAGCCTACCTCTTGAAGCTCTTGTGAGAATAAAAGGGGACAAAGAAAGATGATTCTGATTCCAAAGCCAGACTTGGCCCCTAGACAGCACAGCTGGGAAGGGTAAAGGTGCTGGAACACCAAGGAAGGAGTGCAAGAGAAGCAGCAGGCTGGACTGAAGCCAAGAGATATGACTGGGGCAAGTGCCGGTGAGTGTGAGAAGTCTGGAAAGATTTCCAGGTGAACGAGAGGCCCACACCTCCCCCCTAGCACCTCCCCCCATCCTCTGGTGTCCTTCACGCCCTCCCTTCTTTGTCTGGGACAATCCTAGAGAGGCAGGGTAACAACAGGAGGCCTTCAGATTGCCTCACCACCATCTATGCAACACACATTGACTGAGCACCTACTACAGTAAAACCTGTGAAAGCCAGAACCTGTCTAAGGTGGAAACCTATCAGAGAAGGAAAACGCAAATATTTTCCACTAATAGGCAGAGATAGAAAAGTGGTAACACTGCACCCTGTCAAAGGCAGAAAACTTGTGAAACCCAGAAAAATAAGGCAGTCCTGTCGAGTTCCGGCTCTCACAGTATTCACTGTACAATCCAGGCTTTGTGCTATTTACCAGGAACATGGAGATGCCCTCAAGGAGCTCACTGCCTAGTGAAGGGAGACAGTATGTAACTAAAATAAGCCCAAGAAGTGTGCAGGTTCCCTAGGACAGTTTTCTAGGGGGCACTGTGGGCACCCAGAGGCACAGTAGTCAGTTCTACATCCAGGGCATGGAAAGCCTTCACTGACGTGACCCTCAAGCCTACAGTCTTCCGTGCATCAGCCTGACCTGGATTCTAATCCCAGCTCTGCCACTGGATTCACTGGAGAACCTCAAACAAGTTACTTAAGCTCTGTGAGCTTCAGTTTTACCATCTGTAAAATGGGGGAGAGAAGAAGGGGGAATACATTGAATTGTAGCGTCCTTTCCAGCTCCAAGCTCCAGCAGTCCGGGAACCTAGGACCTCTGGTGTCTGTTTGCATGGTCCAAAGGCCCATGCTGGCATGACTCCCTACCCTCTAGAGTCTGCCCTATTTCCAGGCTGATTGTCACCGACAGGTCTTCTCTCCCTCATTAACTGAAGCCTGCACAGGAGATGAGCCAAGTGGATGATGTTGGTCCTTGTGAGAGCTCTGTCGCCATGCAGAGAGGTAACAAGGCTCACCCCAGGGCATATAGCTAGTAAGAATCGAGCCAAGATTTGTGCCAAAAATATTTTCTGCCTGCTATGGACTTGGCCCTCCGTGCCATGCTGCCTCTCCTGCCAGAGCCATCGCCAGCCAGTCACGGGCTCAGGACTCAAGGAAGATGGGGGTGGGGGGAGGAGAAGAAGGTGCCATCTCGGAGAATCTATCCAGAGGATAGATTGCAAAGTAGAGCCACAGAGAGGACTCTGAGCAAAGAGAGCCAAATTTCAGGGTGAGAAGATTGTTTACCTCATCTTCCTCCTGACACCTGCTGGGTCAAAGAGCAGGGTGCCTGCTTGCCAGGGTACCTCTTGGCGTGACAGATTAGGAGCCCAAAATCAGAGCAGACCCTTTGCTTTCCCCACCCTCCCTGGAGGGCCTGCAGGCTCTGCCTCCTGCTCCCTCAGCCCTGGGGAACAGAGTGTTCTCTACCCCTTAGGAAACCCAAGGATACTACTCCAAGGGACCTCTGAACCAGAGAGACACTTAAAAGGGCTCTAGGCTTAGAGAAACTCCACAGAGGGGGCCTCAGACTCAATCAAACCCCAGAAACAGGGCTGGGATCCAGTGAGATTCCCAGCACCCGCACATACAGGGGCCTTTATTCCCCAACTGCATGCTTCCCTCTTTCCCTATCAGCACTAACTGTTAAAACCAAACCCATTGCCATCGAGTCAATTCTGACCAGTCATGCTTGCTGCTTATCCCCAGGCCTCTCTTTCTAGCCTCATCATTCCATACCTGGAGCCAGGATCTCTGGTCCCTCATGCCAGCCTTTGTGCCTCATACCCTCTTTCCTCCTCATCCCGGCCCACTTCACCCCAGCCTTCCTCTTCCCCCTACCCAAGAGGACATCCTGGTCTGAGGGGTCTCCCAAGCTTGGTGATGACCAACCCCTCCCCACCCAAGGAAAGGAAAGGTAAGTAAATTGCAGAAGAGGAAGGGGAAAGAGAGTGACACTGTGTGTCTCCCTTGCCTCATCTATGAAATGGGGACTATAACCATACCTACCTCATAAGATTGTTGGGAGAAGCTGTGTAGTGTGAGGGTTAAGAGATATACCTCATTTAAGAAATACGTGCAAAAAAACATAGGATATCACTACATGTCATAGATTGAAATGTGTCCCCAAAAAATATCTGTCAGCTTGGCTGCATCATGATTCCCAGTATTGTATAATTGTGTACCATTTTGTAATTGATGTGATTTCCTTATGCGTTGTAAATTCAATCATTATGATCTAATAAAATGGATTAGCGGCCATTATACTGATGAGGTATACAAGATTGGATAATGTCTTAAGCCAATCTCTTTTGAGATATAAAAGAGAGAAGTGAGCAGAGACACATGGGAGCCTCATACCACCAAGAAAGCAGTGCCAGGAGCAGAGCATTCCTTTGGACCTTGAGGTTCATAGCTGAGATGCTCCCAAACCAAGGAACGATTGATGACACAGACCTTTCTCCAGAGTCAACAGACAAAGCCTTCCCCTGGAGCCGACACCCTGAATTTGGACTTGTGGCCTCCTGGACTGTGAGAGAATAAACTTCTCTTTGTTAAAGCCATCCACTTGCGGTATTTCTGTTATAGCAGCACTAGATGACTAAGACACTCCATCTACCAGATTGGTAAAAATTTTAAATACAATACCAAAGGTTGGCAAGGATGTGGAGTAAGGAGACTGTCATAGAATGCTGGTAAGAAAACAAATTTGTATAACCACTTGGAAGCAACCAACAATTCTACTCCTAGATATATGCCCAACAGAAGTATGTGTGCGTGTATATATTCTGAAAGACATATACATAGCAACATTATTCAAAATAGCCAGAAACTGGAATCCATAACAGAATAGACAAATCTATATTTTTACCATGAAATACTACACAATGAAAACGAATGAACTGCAGCTACAC